TGGCCAGCAGCTGGCGTGAGCTTTTGTGAGCTTTTGTGAGCTGCCGTGAGCAGCCATCCAATGGCCGGCAAGCGACTGCCTCACCCAGGAAGAGTGCAATGATAATACCAACATGGGCCAGTGAAGCGACATCCTCCACAACTAGACTTAAGAACAAAAGGACAGCAACTTGTCTGTTCCCCTTTCCCAATTCCCCAATAAAAAAAATCTTTTAAAAAAAAGAATAGATTGTTTTGGAGAAGGCTGACGAAACAGAAACAAAAAGTTGTTTTTGGCCATGTTAAGTTTGAGATGCCTATTAGACATTCCAAGTGGAGATGTCAAATATGTAGTTGGAATATGAGTTCTGGGAAGAGGTCCAGGCTAGAACTATAATTTATGGAGTCATCAGCTTATAGATGACATTTAAAGCCATGGGACGGGATGAGATCACCACAAGGGAGGGGTACCTACAGATGGAAGAGGTAATGGTTATTCAGCTAGCAACATGCTCTGAGCTTTTACCATACGCCCGGTCCTGAGCTAGGTATTAGGTACAAAGATGCATATCCCTCAGCACCTATTCAAGAAATGCTTCCTTACTTATTTAATTTTTCCTGCCTAAGTGCTTTGGCCACTTAGAGGATAAACGTTGAGAGTTCCTGCCCTGCCTCTCATTCACTTATTCATTTTTTCAACATGTATTTGTTGAGTACCTACTTGATACAAGGCCCCCATCTAGGCACTAGGGACATGAAAGGGGGTTAAGTCGAATATGGCTCCTGCCCTAATGGAGTTTACAGTTTGCATGTGGAGGAGGTGGACATTGAACAAGATGCGCACAATGACGTGATTACAGTTGTGACAAATACAATGACAGAGAAGGTAGGCTGGTACAAGAGCTGTTAATAGGAGCTCTGCCCTAGCCTGGGAGGAAGGGAAGTCTTTCCTGGGAAGTCACATTTGAGCAGCAATTTGAGCAGCAACTTGAGTGGCAAGTTGACAGCTGAAGGAAGGCCAACTTGGCTACAGAGAAGTGATGTGGGGGAATGGGAGGCTTGAGGCTGGAGGTGTGGGCAGCAGCCAGACCTTCAGGGCCTTGTCAGCCTGGTTAAGACACATGGACTCCATGGGCCGGCTGAGTGGTGCGATGGTTAAGAGCTGGCTTGGGATGCCAGAGGGCCCCGGTTCGGATCCCACATATGAGGGCCAGTGACACTGCCCTCCACAGCTAANAAAAAAAAAAAAAGAAGGGCATGTTGACCCTCCCTTGTCTTCTTGAATGCAGGAAATAAATCTCCTCTGTGAAAGGTGCCCTCCTTGCTGCAGGGGGGCTAAGAGAAACACCCCATCTCTAGACTTAAGGACTCTGGGGCCGAAAGCTTGCATAAAGAAACCTCGTTACTCCTTTACTAATTTACTACCCAAGCCCAAACTTTGTTTATATTCCTCAGTAATGAGCACCAAAACTTAAGTCTTTGTACTGTCATTTCTTCACAAATTTATTGTTTCATTGTCTAAAAAGTACAAAAAGCCAGAGGGTTCATTATTTCAGGGAGCATCATTATTTATGATCTCCCGTGTGCACATATTAAATTGGTTTTTCTCCTGTCAGTCTGGTCTTATGTCAATTTTATTACTGGTCCAGGAGCAAGAACTTAAGAAGGGCAGAAGGGGGCAATTATCCCCTACTCCCGCACAATGAACATATACAATTTATTGTGAGGATTTTTTATTCCCTTATTATAAAATCCTTCAAGTGGAATTACTGGATCAAGAGGTGTATGTATGTTATCAGGGCCTGATGTATACCACCAACTTATGTTCCAAAAAGGTTATGTATTCAATAGTTACGTGTGGGCATCTAATTTTTTGTTTGATTTTAAAAGACTCAAAGGTGGTATAACAACAAATCAACTACCTTCTCTCCCCCAACATTTTATTATGAAAAATTTTCAAATATACAGAAAGGTTAAAAGAATGGTAAAGTTGGGGCCAGCCGAGTGGCGTGTTGGTTAAGAGCTGGCTTGGGACGCCAGCTCTGAGCAGCAGGGCTCTGGTTTGGATCCCACATGGGAACTAGTGCACTGCCCTCTACAGCTACGGTGGTGAACAACAGTTCAACCTGGAACTGGGCTGCCGTGAGTCGCTGGTTGATGGCATAAGCTGCAGCCCCTGCTGCAGTGGGCTGCCATAGCGTGAGCGGCCAGCAGCCAGTGTGAGCAGCCAAGAGCAGCTATGAGCGGCCGTCCAGAGGCTGGCGACCATCTGCCTCACCCAGGAAGAGCGCAATGGTAATACCAACATGGGCCAGTGAAACATCCTCCACAACTAGACTGAAGCACAAAAGGACAACTTGTCTGTTCCACTTCCCCCTATTCCCCAGTGCTGCTCCCCTCCCCCAATTCCCCAATAAAATCTTTTTTAAAAAATGGTAAAGTGAACACGTTGACTACATCCAACGTCTGGATTCTACTGTTCGCTTTCTCATGTTTCCTCGAGGTTTCATTTTTAATATGACAAATCTTTTGAAACCAGTTCTTCTGATGCAAGGCTTCATTTTTGTAAGGTACCCAGGTTCAATACCCCGCACGATGGGATGTAAATGTGAAAAAGTGCCAAGGTGAGGGTCTACCTGAACTCCTGAAGGACTTAGCACGTATGCTGGGAGCATGGTTCTGGGTTCTAAACCTGACCCACTATGAGACCTCGGTTTTCTCACCTGTATTATCGGAATCCATCTGATTAAAAGCAGAAATCGCGGGAAGCACCCAATGATAGCTCTGATTCTTGTACTCCCTCCCCGTCTTCAAGTCCAAGCTACGGAGTCTGTCTCGAACCTTTCCCAGCCATCTCAGTCCATCTTAGAATTACACCCTCAGTTCTAAGCAGTAGTAAAATGGGGGCAGGGTGGCCCAGCGGGTTACTGACCTGAGGCGGAGGACCGCGATAGCCCCGTCCAGCCCAGTCCAGCAGTCCAGGACTCCTTCAGGCTCAGTGGGGTCAGCTTGCGGCCGGGACCTGACTCCCCTCCCTCCGAGGCCCCGTACGCATAGTGGGAGCCCCCACCGTCAACTCAGTGAGTGTTCACAAACGCCTCTGAGGTAGGGGGCGCTACAGAAGCAGAAAGCTGAGGCACAGGGAGCCTGAGTCACTTGCCCACGTCCACGCAGCTGGTGAGTCAATTGCCTTTTGAAAGTGAACCCAGGGCCGGCCAAGTGGCTCAGTTGGTTAAGAGCTCACTCAAGAGTTTGAGCTCTGAGCAACAGCGGTTCAATGCCAGCCTGGAGCTGAGCTGCCGCTGAACTGCCAACAGGTGGCAGGATGGCTCAGCTAAAAAAAACAAAAACAAGTGAACCCAATTCTTGGACTCCCCTTTGGGCGCCCAGGAGCTCCCCG